CTGGAAAGCTTGTTTCAAAGTTGCGGGAGTGGAACCAACAAAGCCAGCCACCCTGTTTTCCTCTGTCATGCGTGCCGCGCAAGTAATCATTGTAGTCACGGGGGCATGACAAATGCACAGTTGCAGAGGTGCTGCTCCCAACAGTCGACAGTTGTAAGCAACAAAAATGCATGTCGCCAGCTCCAACCTCCCATGGACCCTCCCTATGGACCCTGGTTTGGTGAGCTTGACCTGTGTTTTGTAGTGTGGCAAAATAGGGGGAGGGGGGGTGCCATACAAATAAATATAAATGTAGTACAGAAACTAATTGACAGGTAGATTGCGCAGATAGATAGAATCAGATAGCGCGTTCGGAAAGATAGCTCTTGCAGATAGCTTTAGAAGATCAGACAGACAGAGCATGCGAAAAGAAAGCGTGTGCAGAGAGTTTGCGCGCAGATAAGATGAAGAAAGGATGAACGTGTGTGAGAAAACATGCGTGGGCGTGTGGCGGGGGAATAGAAATCGCGCAAAAGAGTGACCCATCTGCGTGTTTTGGCGACGCCTGTCTGGCACGGTCTCGGAACGGTCTCGGAGCGGTCTCGGCGCCCGGCCCACTGTAATGGCAACGCGCAGGTTTCGCAAGGTTTTTGTTGCGTGGCAGGCGCAGCACGTGGCAGGCGCAGCACGCACGTTGGCAAGGTCAGGTGCAGGCGCAGCACTTTCGGATGGTCAGGTACAGGTTTCGTGGCAGGCGCAGAACTTTCGCAAGGTTGGGTACAGAATTCGTGGCAGTACAGAATTCGTGGCAGGCGCAGCACTTTCGCAGAATGAACGCATGCGAGAAAACATGCGTGGGCGTGTGGCGGGGGAATACAAATCGCGCAAAAGAGTGACCCTCTGTGCGTTTTGGCGGTCTGCGTCGATATCGACCACCTCTGTCTCGACGCCTGTCTGGCACGGTCTCGGAATCGGTCTTGGCGCTCGGCCCACTGTAATGGCAACGCGCAGGTTTCGCAAGGTTTGTGTTGCGTGGCAGGCGCAGCACTTTCGCAAGGTCGGGTACAGATTTCGTGGCAGGCGCAGCACGTTGGCAAGGTCAGGTGCAGATTTCGTGGTAGGCGCAGCACGTTGCCAAGGTCAGGCGCAGATTTCGTAGCTTTTGAAAGGTCAGGTGCCGATTTCGTGGCAGGCGCAGCACTTTCACAAGGTTGGGTGCAGAATTCGTCGCAGGCTCAGCACTTTCGTTCGGGCGGCTGAGAATGAGGCAAGCTTACTTGTTAGAATAAAAGGTGCGGAAGCATGGGAATTGAGTGTTGTAGGTAGTCAGTGGACTCACTAGCCTGACGCCTGTGGCATTGATCCTTTGTCCTTGCGTGGAGAACCAGTGAAAGACAGGATCCTTAAGCTTGCTGAGGTAGTCTTGTGACTTGGAGGCGCAAGATGTGAAGAACTTCCACCAGTACTTCCTGGAGACCTGCCCACCTGGATCCCTGGGCTTGCAAAGGGCTGGCTACCCGCCCCAACCGTTCTTTCTTGGCCCACCCATAACATGCGTGGGCGTGTGGCTGCGTTGATGTCAACCACCTCTGTCTCGACGCCTGTCTGGCACGGTCTCGGAACGGTCTCAGGTCTTGGCTGTACTGGCAACGTGCAGGCTTCGCAAGGTTTGTGTTGCATGGCAGGCGCGGCACGTTGGGCAGATTTCGTGGCAGGCGCAGCACTTTCGAACGGCCAGGTACAGATTTCGCGGCAGCCGCCGCGCTTTCGCAAGGTCAGGTACGGAGGTAGAGAAAGAAAGAGAAAGAGAGATGGAGAGAAAGAGAACGAGAGAGAGAAAGAGAGAGCGAGAAAAAGAATTAAAAGAGAAAAGAAAGAGAAAGAAAAAGAGAAAGAACAAGAAAAGGAAAAATAAGTATAAAAAATAAAGAGAAAGAGACAGACAAAGAGAAAGAAAACTTGAAAGATAAATATGACTAAATGAGAAGATAAAAAAAAGCAGAGAGAAAGAGAAATAGACACATGAATATATAATCAATGAAGAGGAAAATAAAGAGAAAGAGCAAAGAATCAGAAAGATAAAGAGAAAGAGAAAAAGAAAACAGAAAAAGATAACGAAAAGAAAGAGAAAGATAAAGAGACCGCGAAAGAGGAAGAAATTGGAAACAAAAAGAGAGAATAAAGATAACGACAAGAGAACATAGAGATAAAGAGAGAGAGAGAGAGAGAGAGAGAGAGAGAGAGAGAGAGAGAGAGAGAGAGAGAGAGAGAGAGAGAGAGAAAGAGAGAGAGAGTCAGAGAGAGAGAGCGAGAGAGCGGGGGAAAGAGAAGGAAAAAGAACAATACAAGAGAAAGAGAAAGCGGAAGAGAAAGATACAGAGAAAGAGAAAGATATAAATACAGAAAGAAAGCCACAAAAGAAAGAAATAAAGAAAGACGGAAAAAGTAAGAAAGAAAGACATAAATAAATGTAGAAATAAATCAAGAAAGAAATAAAGAAAGACATAAAGACAGAGAGCTTAGATAAGGTTGCGATTGGACGATTTATGTTTCGCTAAAGCTTACTCTGGTTTACTGTGGCGTTGACGCTGTGTAGCTGGGCACCGACGAGGCTTGGCGTCACAGCCGGCCACCCATGCGACACCAAATAGTTTAGACAGGTTTGCTGCTGGGTGTTTTACGTTTAACTAAAACCTACTCTAGTTTACTTTGGTGTTGGTGCTGTGAAGTCTTTGTAGCTGGGAGCCGACGAGGCCTGGCGTCACAGCCGGCCATCCATGGGACATCAAACAGTTTAAATAGGTTTGCCGTTGGATGCTCTGGCTTACTTTGGCGTTGATGCTGTCGAGTCTTTGTAGCTGGGAACCGACGAGGATTGGCGTCACAGCCGGCCACGCGTTGGACACCAAACAGCTTAGATAGCTTTTCCGTTGGATGATTTACGTTTGACCAAAGCTTACTCTGATCTACTTTGGTGTTGATTCTGTCAAGTCTTTGTAGCTGGGAACCGACGAGGCTTGGCGTCACAGCCGGCCACACATGGGACACCAATAAAGAGAAGCAAAAGAGAAAAGAAAGAGGTAGAGAAAGAGAAGGAGAATAGGGAAAATAAAAGGAAAGACAAAGAGAAAAAGGGAGAAGTAAAAGAGAAAAGAATCAGGAAGAGAAAGAGAAAGAGAAATCAAAGAGACAAGAAAGAGAAAGGCCGAGAGAGAGAGAAAGAAAAAGAAAAGAAGGAGAAAGACCAAGAGAAAGAGAGAAAGAGAAAGACAAGAGAAAATAGTTTGTGTATCTCTAGAAACTTCTGACCACCGGCTCCGCCGGCTCTATGTTATACATACTTACATACACACACATATATGTAATGTGTAGGCAATCACATCAACACCTGCCATCTGAAAGAGTCTGCGCGCATCTAGGAGTAGTGGGGCAACACCCAATTTTTATGCCCACTTTCTTAGAGCACTACGGGATTCAGTCCTGAGAATCGTCAATCCGGGCCACACCCCGAAAAAGCATTCAAGTTCTTCTGCACCACTGGATTGAAGATTGAAGATTGAAGACTGCACAAAGACTCTTTATGAAGATCGCCAATCTTGGCCAACCCCAAAACACTTTCAAGCCTGAAAGTGCTTTACCACTGGATTGAAGATTCAAACTTGACATCTTTCACAGAAAGGTTTTTCCAAGAATCTTGTCCTCGCACTTTGAATCCAGCCATTGCAGGAACTTGGAGTGTTGCCGATTAAATGCATATGACTGCAGACGGATGCGCGTACTTGGTTGCAGAAGTCTTTTTTCAACCCGGCGTATTGGGACAACACTGGAATTTGGCATTTACTATTTTAAAGATTCTGGAGCTCAAGATTCAAGATCCCCAAAAAAGTTCGTAGACACACTTTCAAGTGCTTTTGGCGAGCCTGTTGTGGGCTATGCTCATGTTGACCCTTTTCCAGGAGGTAAACACCGTTTTTCATGTGTGATTGGAATTTTGAATATAGTTTGGTTCATAGTTTTCAAAAATGTGTTTATGCTCAACATTGCTCAACTACAGCTTATATAAACAAATCCTTTCCAAATAGGAGCTACATTAGAGTACAAGTATAGTTTCGGGCAAACTCCAACTAATGTTTAACAAACTAGATAGGCTTCTTCGCCAATATCATCTAAGTGTTAGATATCATCTAATGAGAACACAACCCAATGAGCTTTTGATAATGACAACTAAATAGAGACTACTTCTCAAATATAGCTCATATTAAGTATGGCTAAGCATTTCAGGGGACTTCCAAAAGGAAACTCGAACTACGATTTGTGTTATTTATCCTGGCCGTTTTGCAACATAAGAAGGTCCGAAATTAAACTTGTTGGACGGTGTTCCAAGAGGAAATTTCATGGGCAGAGGTTCAAATTCTAAAACTGCTTCGAAAGATGGATTCTAGCTGAATCGGTTGTATTTAAAATTCTATTTGCAGGAAAACAAAATTTATTCTATCTCAAAAGGTGGAGGTAGTAAATGAGCACATGTGGAGAGGTAGTTCCAAAGGAGGGGGTGGCGGTGTGTGAATATACATTCATGTGTGTACATACATTTATACATATATATATACGCGCTATATATACACATACACACACACATATAGTACCCCTAAAGATCCTACGCCTCTTGTTAAACCACTGTGAAATACAGTGTTTTGAGCATTACACCTACCCTTGTTTGCTTCCTGGAAAGGGCCAACATGCCATAGCTAACATGAAGCAAGCCGCTCACCAAAAGCACTTGAAAGTTTGTCTAACTAATAACCTGAAAGTGTTTCCACTGGATCGCTAAGCACTTGAAAGTATTTTACCACTGGATGAAAAAGTCAAGATTGAAGATTACACAGAAAACTTTCCTGAGAATTGTCAATCATGGCCAAACCCAAACAACATTCAAGTTCTTCAGAATCATCCATCCTGGTCAAACCCTAAAAATGATCAAGTTGTTCTAAAACTTTGAACGTATTTTACCACTGAATTGA